AAGGCTTTCTTATAAACTAGAGTAAAACGACTCATGGGACCAGTAGTTAGCGTGATGGCTATGTCACTGGACTCCCATGTAGTCGACCGTGGTTCAAGTCCTGGACCCAGTGGTTTAAACTCCCATTGGGCATGTGTGCGTGCGTGCCCAAGATCCCGAGAGGAGAATGGAGGAGAAGAGATTGCAGCATGGCCATCCCCCCTGGGGGGTGATTTCTCGCTTTGTGTCTCTCTCTCTCTTGCTCTTTCTGGCGAGTGCATGCGCCCTATAGCAAAAACCTCTAAAAAAACCCACGATTCATATGTGATGGAGTTTCCATGAGATAGACCCAGGTACCCAGGAGCAATAACAAGGACAGTGACATTCAGAGGAGTGCTGACTGTGTTCAGCACTGTTCTAAGCACCTTACAGATTATTTTCTCATTCCTCCTGACATCCCTGTAAGGTAGCTCTGTAATGATCAGTTTCACAGTTCTGGAACATGAGACCCAGAGAGGTTAAATGTCCTCTCCAAGGTTGCACAATGAGGAACTGGTGAGGCCTGGATTTGAACACAAGGTATAACAAGAGTCTAGACTCCAAGCTCTTTACTGTTAAGCCTCCCATGTGATTGTCAGACTGTAATCAGCACGTCACTGATATGTTTACTCTGCCATTATCAGTACTTTGTTGCTATATCAGTGAAGAAGGTTGGCATTCCATCTCATCTGTAAAGTGGTCTCAGGCCTGGGTGATGGTCAGAATCAGAAGTGAGCAGAGTGTTCACGGTCAGAGACACTACTGGCAGGCAGAGGGGTGGGAGGTGATCACTCCTGCTTCTGATGAGAGACTCAAGTGAGGGAGCTCACATAAGTCCACGGCAGAGAATCAGCAATAAAGGCAGATACTACGGGAGTCCCCAGGTTTTGAGGGTTCCCAGCCCAAATGCCACACATATGAAAGAGTAAGCCTTCAAATGATCTCATTATCAGCCACCATCTGACTATAGACATATGAGGGGACTTTAAAAAGTTTGTGAAAAGTGGGGACCAGCAGGTGGCGTGGTGGTTAAGGTGCTGGAAACTCCCACATGGCCGACCATGGTTCGAGTCCCGGACCTGGTAGCTTGCTTTCTTACTTTCTCTCTCTCTCTCATCAAATTAAAATAAATGAATGAATAAATAAAATAATTTTTTAAAAGTGTGTGAAAAGATGGAACTAAGGGGGGTTTCTTTTGATGACAAAAATTCGAAACCTGGGGCTGCAGTTAGCGTAATGGCTATGTCACTGGACTCTCACGTAGTCGACCGCGGTTCGAGTCCCGGACCTGGTGGCTTAAACTCACACC